GTGATGACTTTAACTCTTGGAGATCTACCATTCATAAGGTTAACATAAGTCAAGGATGATTTTAGGCAGTTACCAACAACAATAGGTAGGAAAGTAGGTAGGTAGAAGCTGTCTTCTCTCAGCTGCAAGTGCAGCCAGTTGCTATTCAGGTGCAAAAGGGCCAGGGGAGCATACTCCAACGTTTAGAAGCTGCTTTCTAGTGGGAGAGGGGAGATGTGTGAAAAATGGTATTGCGTGTGCAAATAGGTACAGTGGATGCTTTGTATTGGCAGGTAGGAGATCCACAGATATGACTGCCTATGGATTTCCACATCCCATATTATTCAATGGTGGCATGTGCCCATCGTTGCCATTGAATAACATACAGCATGACCATTCACAGATTTTGCCATCTGTGTTGGGGCCTGGAACCAAATCTCCATGAATGGGAAGGTTCCACTCTATGTCCTTTTGCAGTATCTCAAAAAGGGCATATATTTGCATAACCCAAGTTATGTGATGCAAGTGTCTTCCATTGTCATTGGCAGATAACACTTTGGGTTACAGTTCAAACATCAAGGGAGCTTTCCAAGGTGCTGAACCTATCAAAAGTGATGAAAATTGTGTTTTTTCTTCTTCTAATGGACTAACATAGCTATTTATCTGTGTGTCTCTGTGTGTGTGTGTGTGTGTGCATGTGCATGTGTGTGTTGAAACCCAATGAAAAAATTACTTGGTTGTCACAAGATCTTGCCTAGAGTCTTGTAAGGAAGGGTTCAGTGGCCTGTCTGCATTTGTTAGGATACATGCACACATTCAACTGCCATTCAGTTCCAACTCCCTAATCACTGCTGGGGAAAAGAGAAAATAGTCACATAATCTCAGCTTCAAAAGGCAAAGGCAAAGCCTTTTCTGAACAAATCTAGAACAAATCTTGCCAAGAAAAGCCCATGATAGAGTCAACTTAGGGTGGGCACAACAACAACAATCTCCCATTCTCCCCCCCACCCACTGCCCCATTCCAAGGCTTCCACACCATTTTATCTATGCTTTCTAAAGCACTTTGAAGCCTCTTAAAGCACCTCTGACAGCTTTCAGGTTTTTGAAAATAAATTGGTGGCCAGTATTAAAAGCAGATTCACAATTCACATTTTCACCTGAATGCTTTATGGTGTATCACCATAAGTCATGGGTGGCTAACATATGGTCTCTGGACAACATGTGTCCCACCACCATCCCTTTGTGCTCCCCCATTGCTTTCACTTTTGTCGTCGTGTGCCCAACTCACTTCCGACTTCTGGTAACCCTATCACAGGGTTTTCTTGGCATGATTTGTTCAGAGAAGGTTTGCTATTGCCTTCCCCTGAGACTGAGTGGGGAATTGAACCCTGTTCTCCCGAGTCATAGTCAAACACTCAAACCACTATGTCACAACGGCTATCTCAAATCACCCTACTGAAATCCATGGTATGGCTACTCCCATCTCTGGCAGAACTACCAGCAGGAAAATTGTAGGTGGCACTGGGGTTCTGGGGGTCCAGAGCATCTCAGCTTCCTCAGTGCTGGGAAGATGCCCACCTCTTCTGAAAACTCATGCATTCCATCCAAATTTCTTTTTAAAATCTTTATCCATTTCTCTTTCTGGCAAGCTATATAGGTTAGGGAGAAGATCTTCATTATAAACTCATTTTAAACATCTCTTCAAGAGACATGGGAAATCCCTCACACCTCTAATCCTTCTCTTTTTCTATAATCATGGCATAGTCCTTTCCTTCACTCTCCTCCCCCCCCCCATTTATTTATTTAGGTCTCTGGGGAGACTGACAAAATCAAAGAAGAGCCTTGATCATTTCTGTGAAGTGTTTCCCCACTTCAGCTGAGCCTATGGACGTATATGTGGGTCCTGGTCTGGAAGCCCAGACCCCACTCCCACTTCAATGCCATTGCTACTGAGGAAAATGGCTCACCAGCGGAGTCATCCCAGTGTGACATCTTCCTCATCAAAATCACATTTGTGACAGCCTGAGAAATAGGGGTTTCACAGGTTGTTGGAAGTGCAATTTCACCTGGGAAGACACAGACTAGCATAGTAGTCTTCAAGGGACATCTTCCCTTACCCACCTAGACTCCAACAGCCTGCCAAAGAGTTGTATATCTATTGTACATTGGTACAGACATGAACGACATTTTCACTCATGATTCTTAGGGTGGATCCTGCTTTACATGGGTTTTGTAATGTGACAATGAAACCTCCGTTAGCCAGTGTGCTTATTTGTATGACCAATGCCATTTTTTAGCTTTCTTCTCCTTATGGACAGGGATAAAAAATTGACTTCAATACCAGGATAAAAGTTCAAATGCAAGGTAAACACCACATATATGAAAATGCTCTCTGTGCCCACACACATAGGGCACACATAAAAAAAAAAGAACTACACAGGGCTGGTATTTTGTACCAAATTACACATCCTGAAGTACTTGCATTTGGACTGTAGCCAGTTTGACACCATTTTAACTGTGATGGCTCAATGCTATGAAATTCTGAGATTTGTAGTTTATTATGGCAGTAGACTCCTCTAATAGAGAAGTTTTGTAAGGCATTTAATTTTCTCTGTTAGAGAGTTCTGGTGTCACAGCAAACTACAATTCCCAGAATCCCACAGCACTGATCCATTGCAGTTAAAGTGGTCTCAAACTGGATTACTTCTGCAGTGTAGATGCAGTCTTAGTTGCCAGAAATGAACATACTTCTAACCCAGTGTTGAGAAATATGTAGCCCTCTGGATTTTGTTAGACCACATCTCCCATCAGACACGTCCAGTACAAACAATGGTGAAGCATGATGGGAACTCTGTCCAACAACATGTGAAGGGCCACAGGTTGCTCATCCCCCGCCTAGCCTCCATAATTGTGCTAGCAGTGGGGAAAAGTTTTTAAAATGTTTGGTTGTGTCAGTTACAAAACAGACCTATGTTTGCCATCAAAAGTATATTGAAAGAGGAATAACAATGAGTCACAACCTTATAAATAGTGCATATGTGTCAGACACATATTCTTTGAGTGTTTTATCGATAGGTACAAATTTCAAGTTTCCTTGGTACAGAAACTGCATACTTGCATATTTTTTAAGCTATAGATAAATGAAAAACATACCTCTGACTGGAAAATTGTGCTTCCAATTTTAAGAGTATGTCGAAGTGTTACCTTTGCTCACATGCAAAAGACACTGTATTCTGCAGTTCCTCTGAGTGGGTTCTTCTTCATTACTATACTTCAAGTTGCAATTGAAGCCTGGAATAAAAAAATTTCTACACGGGCTGCTATAATGAAGAAATCTATGAGGTTTTTATGTTTCAGAGTTTGAGTTTGTGTCCACATATATTGATAACAAAAGCATTTCTGGACATAACTTTACTTCTTGGTTGCTAATCAATGAAATTTGTTCAAGTACCAATTGCCAAAATGTGTTTATTTTGTGGCAGTCTAGCTGCATGTGTAGAAATGTGCCATTATCATTACAGCCATGCCAACATTTGGAGGAAACATTTTTAACCATTCTGGCTAGCTTCACTGGAGTCAAATACCACTTGTGTATAATTTTCAAGGCATTTTCTCTAATCAGTGCTGATCTGGATTTAAAAGGGGTGGAAGACCAAGCTGTAGTCCATTTTGAAATAGGAATTGAAAGATGCAAATCCATTTCCCAGGTTAGTTCTATGCCACGGATTTTTATTTTTATTTTTTGTAAGGGTGGACAATCAAACAGCTGTAGATTAATGATGTTAGTCCTTTGGTGCTTTGGGAGGGGGGAACACATCATACCTCAAATAAGGTAAGTGATCTAGATGGTTCTCCTATTTCCTTTAATTTGTGTGTAAAAGCAATTATCTGATGGAGATGAAACCAACTGGCCTTTAATGGCTCTAAATCTAAAGTTAGTTCAGCAATTGTTTTTAGTCTGCCATTACGAAAAAGGTCTTGGTCAAAGTATACACCTTGTTGTTTCCATCCCTGGAACTGGTTAATTTATCAGGGGAATAGAAGATTTGTGGACAAGGAAGAGGCAAATAGGAGAGGGATCTGGTGCTAGAACTTGCTTCCATCTTGACCATATCTTTACTGACATTTGTAGCCATGTGAAGTCGTAGGCTTTCATGGCCGGCATCCATAATTTTTTTTGTGGGTTTTTTCGGGCTGTGTGGCCATGTTCTGAAAGAGTTTCTTTCTGACGTTTCGCCAGCATCTGTGGCTAGCATCTTCAGAGAAAAAAATTGTAGCCATTTTTTTTAATGTTTTTAATTACTTGCAGAGTGTGTTTGTTAAAGAACAAAGCAAGATTGACTGATGGTGGGCCATGCTTGCAAATATCTTTATACTCACGTAGAATTCACAGCCTTGGTTTTATAGAAGGAGAGAACCATTTTCTCCTTTCACTGGCAAGGCAAGTAGATGCCAAGTTTTTATAACCAGGGTAGCCAGGTGATTGCAAAGACTGCCAGTTTCATTACCAGCATACCTCAGGGAATGTCAGCAATGTACCATTAATTCCTACAATATGGAATACAAGCTCCAGGGCCTTGCCACCACATAAAAACAGCGGTAAAGGAAACACTCCAGAGCATACTGTAAAATCACATCCCATTTGCTGTGTTCATGGCTCTCCCCTCCCCCTCTCCCAAATCATAGGTTGCTGCTGCTGTACAATTTGTTGTTGCTTTGCATTCTATAGTCATGTTGCTGGAAAACATTGTCAGTATCACAAGCCTAGGGAAGCTGCAGTGCTACCCAAAAGGAGTAGCCAGACGCATTGACAAAGGTGAATTTTTCCATATTGCTTCAGTAGAGGTGGGGCAAGTTGTTATTATTTTTTTGGACAACAACTACCAATGCTAGCTGAGGGATTCTGGGAGTTGTTGTCCAAAAACAGAACTTTTCCCAAGCTCGGCACACTCCAGTAACACTAAAATGCCTCTGGCTTAACTAGAGCTTAGAACACAGACTGAGAACTGGAAATATTGAGTTCTTTGTGGCTAGACAGGAAATGGTCTCAAGGAAGTTGGATTGCTTTTCCAGTCACAGTGAAACAGGCATCAAAGAGTGCCTACCTTATTTTAGGACTCCCCCCACTTCTTCAAATAGAAAAGCAGCATTTTGTGGAGCCAGATTTCCTGTTAGGCTTATGATGCTCTTTGCTTTTTTAAGTCATAAAATTTTTGTTTACTAATGTACAAGTGAAACGGCTGAGGTACAAGAATGAAACATATGTTTTTGTGCATGTGTGTGTGTCTTCAAGTTGCCTGTCGGCTTATGGCAACCATAATTTCATAGAATTTTCTTAAGCAAGGAATGACTCAGAAGTGGTTTTGCCAGTTCTTTCCTCTGAAATATAGCCTACAGCACCTGGTATTTGTTGGTGGTTTTTCATCCAAATACTAACTAAGGATGACCCTGCTTAGCTTCCAAGATCAGATGGGATCTTTAGAGCATTTAGGCCCACAATCATGAAATACTAGTCCCTAAAGTAAGCAACATTAAAACACACACACCAGCCCACAAATAGCAGTATTCAAAGAGCTGCTTTTGCCCAAAGCCAGAGAAGTGTAATACTAAGACAAAGCAACTTCATGAGACAGCTGTTTGCCTTGCTTGAAGTCTTTCTATTTAAGATTTCCACTGAAAATTGCACGCGCACACACACACGCACACACCTTTTATTCCTATAGGATTCCAGTCTGATATTTGACAGCATGGGAGTGGGTGAGAGAATCAAAACAGGTTGTGGGGAAAATACCCTGCAAAAGTAACTGAAATTGAACACTAAATGCTTCCTGGTGCAAAATTGCCCCTTTCCAACACTAAAAGTCAGTTAGAATTTTGTTATACATACTACTCCATGTTCTTGCTATAGTGGACACATAGGATCATTTTCTTTCTTATATTTAATCATATGCATACATCCACCTGCAGTTCAGATCAGAGAGATAACATTGCCAGAAATTTTGAGGTTTTTTGAGGGGGGACAGAAATTTTAATTAAAATGGCATTGTACAGATTGAAAGTCACTTTGCAACTTTAGGAACGTAAAATTCATTCTCAAAACTTAGTTTGGCATGAAGTGTTCTTGTGGGATACAGTGGTACCTCTACTTATGAAATTAATCCGTTCCACAGCCCATTTTGTATGTAGAAAATTTCTTAAGTAGAAGCAAATTTAACATTGAAATGCCCTAATCCGTTCCGCAGCTTCGGCCATTCGACCCTGGAAGCAGGGGATGGCTCCGCTTCCAGGATCGGCCGAGGCTGCTGGCTTTCCCTGGGCCAATCCTGGAAAGGGAGCCATCCTCCGATTCCAGGGTCAGCGTAAGGAAGGGCCGAGGCTGCCGGCTGTTCCTTAGGCTGGCCCTGGTAGCGGAGAAGTCCTCCTCCGCTCGGAGGACCA